CCCAGTTTCTTGCTATAGTAAACAATGACAATATATATATCCTTGTAGCCAAATTTTTGTGCATATCTTTTTATTTCCTTGAGATAAATTCTGGGTAGTAAAATTATAATTATAACTGTTCATTATGAATTTTCAGATATTAAAGAGCCATATAAAATAAAAAGCCTAAGTTCTTCCAAATTTTAGCCTTCAGCTACATATTTCTCAGATTTTTTTTCTATGCATACACATATATTTTTATTGTTCTTGTTAACAAAATTTGAATCATTTAAAATATATTGCTTTGGAATTTGCATTTACTGCCTAACAATACAACAAGGTCATCTTATTAGCCACTTAGTAGCTGCATAATCTTGGGTAAGTTTCTTATCCTCTCAGTGCCTATCCATACCTACCTCATAGGATCATTGTGTAGATTAAATGAGTTATAAGCAGTTGGCTTGTATCAGTGTCTGGCACATAGTAAGCGCTTGTATCAGTCAGGGTTCAGTCAGAGAAGTAGAAGTGTTAGTCCTGATGTTGGCCCTCAGTTCTTGACTTTGTGCAGGAAAGATTTCACAACACACGTCCAGATGATTTTGAGAGAATGTTTATTAAAACTGGGGACAGTGAAACAGAGGAAGGGAGTAAGATAGAAGAGGCAAGATCATGGTAACAGGCGTGAGCCTAGGTGGAGCTGCCTTGGCCCTTTGGAAGGAAAGTCACGGACAGAGGTACCCAGCTACAAAAGCCCACATTCCAACTTCCCAAGACTAAAGAACAAAATTCTTCAGTTCTGTCCTCCAAATCTTGTACAAATATATCTCTGTTGCCCACTCTAACCAGAAACATGCATGGACAGAATTCCTAGCCAAGTTGACACATTATGAAGACTCTACTAAAAAGGTGTTATTATTGTTGTTGTTATTGCAATATTTGATGTTATTGTTACTGTTGTCATCATTACCATCATCTTCAGTGACATGAAAAATGTTCATTTTAGCTGGAACAAAATGTTTGGGGATAAGGCGAGTGGCAAGAAAATGAAGCTAGAAAGGTAAGCTAGGCCTGCTCATGATGAGCCTAACTGGCCACGTTGAGTTTGGACATGTTCATGGGAGATAATGGTCTGCAGTTTTCCTTTTTGTAATATGCTTATCTGGGTTTGGGATTAGTGTAATGCTATCAATTAGAATCAGTAAGAAAATATTCCCTCTTCAATTTTTCTGGAAAAGATTATAGATAATTGGTATCATTTCCTCCTTAAATGTTTGGTAGAATTCACCAGTGAAGATGTGGTAGGCTGTTAGAAGACATGAGCAGAGCAAGGACGATGGGCCAGGTACAGAATGTCACCAGGATGGAAAGCCCTGGATGCTAGCAAAGGACTATTGTAGGGTGGGACCTCACCCCCAGGGGGGCCTTTCCTCCCCTAGCATATCACTGGTGGTGTGGTGTGGACCCCCTGACCTTTCCTTCCTGGAGATAACATCTAGGCCTCGGTTGTAGTTCAGCTCTAGGCCGAGAAAAGCAACAAAACAAGCCACAGCTGCCTGGCCAGGCATGGCTTGGCGGTTGAGCATCGACCTACGATCCTAGGATCCAGGAGATCACTGTTTGATTCCCGGTCAGGGCACATGCCCGGGTTGTGGGCTCAATCCCCAGTCGGGGGCGTGCAGGAAGCAGCCAATCAATGAGGACTCTCTCATCATTGACGTTTCTCTCTCTCTCTCTCTCTCTCCCTCTCCCTTCCTCTGAAATCAATAAAGATATATTTTTTTAAAAAAGAAACCACAAAAATCAAAACAAAACAGCCATAGCTGAACTCAGGAGCAGCTGCATTGAATGATGGCTCCTGCCCAGGTGCCAGTCAATCAGTAGAGACCACAGACCACAACCCTGAAAGGACACACCTGGAAAACTGCTGAATATTTTAAGATCTTCCCCTGGGACCACCCCTAAAATCTCCCATAAAACCCTTAGGGCAGAGGACCCAGTGCCTCTTCCCCCTGGGAGCAAACCCTCGACTTTCCCTGCCCCTTCCCCTCCCCCCATCCTCACCACCCCCAAGCCATTAGCATTAGCTTCCTTACTCACAATCTCCAAGGGCCCCTCCATTGCCTCTATAACTTGTTTCCTAAACCCATTCTAGGAATTACTTTTCTACCTCTGTGAGTAACGAAATAAATATTCTCTTATAGTTTAGGTCTTGGTTCTGAATTCTTTCCTAGCCAGATCCCAAGTGTCAAGCTTGCTGATCCCAAGTCCAATCTGACCCCGCTGGACTAACACCCAGTGCCGTTCCTGCCTCCTGCAACAAAACCATGTGGGCCCAGTGCTTTATTTTTTGGAAGATTATTAAATATTGCTTCAGTTTCTTCAATAGATATAGTCCTATTCAGATTATCTGTTTCTCCTTGTGTAAGTTTGAGTAGATTGTGTCTTTCAAGGAATCATTCCATTTCATCTAAGTTATTAAATTTGCGGGCATAGAGCTGTTCATAATATTCTCTTATTGTCTCTTACTGTCCAGAGGATCAGTAGTGGAGGGGAGCAGAGTTTGCCACCTCAAAATGTGCCTCTTTGGGATATTGATTATTTTATTTAGGCTGGTTAATTTTAAGAAACAGAAGACAAGGGAGGACATCTGAAAACCNGCAGCCAATCAATGAGGACTCTCTCATCATTGACGTTTCTCTCTCTCTCTCTCTCTCTCCCTCTCCCTTCCTCTGAAATCAATAAAGATATATTTTTTTAAAAAAGAAACCACAAAAATCAAAACAAAACAGCCATAGCTGAACTCAGGAGCAGCTGCATTGAATGATGGCTCCTGCCCAGGTGCCAGTCAATCAGTAGAGACCACAGACCACAACCCTGAAAGGACACACCTGGAAAACTGCTGAATATTTTAAGATCTTCCCCTGGGACCACCCCTAAAATCTCCCATAAAACCCTTAGGGCAGAGGACCCAGT